GCAGTTAATCTTATGGCCTATTATCTTGCAAGAATAGCAAATTTTACCAGATCAGTCAATTTAAGAATAGTTTTCAACATCTGGGAAAAAAAGGGGAGTGGGCTGACAGGTTATAGCTGTACAAGCTGAGGGTGGGAGTTATATGCTAATGCATTTTGTGATATAAATATTAAGCATAGTAATTAAAACCTTAAATGTAATATTAACCATCAGAATCTGAACCTGGGATTCACATGATAGATCACCAACTCTTCCAAGTTGTCCTCTGACCTCCGTTCCCATGCCATGTATGCCTGCCCTGACTCATAAATCAGTGTGATTAAAATCATTTTTGAAGTTGGAGGGGAGAAAGAGGGGGAGGGAGAGGGACATGGAGAGAGAGAGGGAGAGAGAGAGAGAGAGAAAGAGAGAAAGATCAATGAAAAAGATGTCTTGGCAAAATGTTAGTTTTTCAGCAGTTTCAGCTCTGAATGTGGACTTAGTATATTTTTAGAGTGTATTTTCTACTGTCTCTAAACAGCCTGGAAGTATTATAATAACATCTGCTCTTACAATTTTGTTTGAAGCTTGAGGAAGGACTTAGAAATAGACATCATTTGCCTTTGTGATCTCCATGTTCTAGGAGGAGACAAGAACACAGGAGAAAATCTAGCTGTTTCTAAGAGTGAGAAGGCTAGAGGTCTAACTTTAGTATAAATCAGATGCATTGTTATCTTCTTCTGCACTGCTTTTCTGTTGTTTAATAAAACACATGAATGTAACATAGAAGAAAAAGTTTATTTGGGTTTATGGTTCTAGAGGAATGAGAGACCATCATGGCAGGAAAGTGGAAGCCATGACAGCTGGAATAACAAACTAAGAAGTCACAGTTTGAGCCACAAGCAAGAATCAGAAAGAGAGAGAGAGAGAGAGAGAGAGAGAGAGAGAGAGAGAGAGAGAGAGCGCACAACTGGGAATGACACAAGTCTTTCAACTCACAAAGTCCATTTCCAGTGACAAACTTTCTCCAACAATACCACACCTCCTAAACCTTCCCAAACAGGGCCACCAAATGGGAACCAAGTGTTTAAGTACCTGAGCCTTATAGGGATCATTCTCATTCAAGCCAATACAACTTTTATCTGTTCAAAAATTGTTTCTTCTTAAAAGCTTTTTTAGAACATCTTTTTAGTTTATATTCAGGAAATCTTGGACTACGGAAGAAGCAGAGAGAAATCAAATTCAACTACTAAGATTAATAAGATCACTGATTCAGTAAGCAAAACTAAGTCTTAGAATGAAACCTATCTTACTGATAAAATGATTTAGGATTTCCTGGCATCCATAACTGTGAGGAAAAAGAAGTCATATTATTTAAGGTACTTAGCCTGTTGTATTTGTTTTAACACCCTGAGTGAATCAAGATACAAATGAGTGCATGTGCACACACACACACACACACACACACACACACACACACACACACACACACACACACACACGGTGGAGGAGCAGGTTAAACAAATAATTAAAAAGAGATACTTAACAATGATAAATATAAAATATGAGACAAATGATACATGAGCAATGAAGAGACGGTCACATGTTAGCTGAGCTGGAAGGACAGGTAATCTATGCTGGAGATTCTGGGGCCCTGAATGTGAACATTGGCCTTAGGGAAAAAGTTATGTTTCTACAGAGCACCCTTTGGCTCCCAGGCTTGACTGGCACCTGGGATCCTATGAATCATGAAGATAATTACACTTGTGAGAGAGTAGGAACATAGAGATACATGGTTTCACAGTCGGGGAATGGCTTGTTCTCTAGATCTTCAGTCAGCTCCCCTCTCTAGTCCCTCCATGTTCTATTCTCAATCTTTTGCTCCTCTTTCTCATCTTTCTATATGCCTCTTAGCTAGGTCCGAGCAGATGACTGCCCTTCCCCTCCCCTCTCTAGCCAGTCATCAAATCGTGGAAGTCACATTCAAGTCATCTTTCCTTTTCTCTTCTCCCACACCATCACCACGATCCAAGATTTCATCATTTCTCTGCCTAGTTGTTTGCAATGGTCTCCCCATGATCATTCTAAACCTGAAGATGTCACACTTCTGCTTAAACTTGTAGCATGGCTCTCTAGATAGCAGGGTTAAGTTCAGATGTCTTTTCAAAAATATATTTTTGATTAAAATATAATTCCACCATTTCCACCCTTTCCTTCCAACCCCTTCCAACACCTTCTCCCCGAGTGATTTTTTTTTTTCTTTTAGCACATCCTGCCTCTGTGTAGTTCAAATCTTTCATCCCCCAGATCATTTGCATTCGGTCAGCTCACACCGAATTATCCTCTGACTATTCTGTTACATTACATGCTCTGTTCCATTATTTGGAATCCCCTTCCTCTTTCATCAAACTTTCCCTTCAGGATTTAGGGTCAGAATTACCTTTTCCAGGACCGCCCCCACACCCGCACCGATTAACACAGTTTATGCCCATATTTTATACAGATTTTTGCTGTGATTTCCATTTACTCTACTGTTTCTAAGGGGGGCCAAAGTTATGTTCATATTCTCCTTGCCAAGCGTAATGCCTGTCACATAGCCGATTACACAAGAGCTTGAAAGACGCTAAATCAGAGGTTAGTGAATTACTGTCTGGGGAGATCATAGATATTTCGGGAGCTTCTGGATACGGAAGTAGAGAGATTTTTGAGGACTGAAAGCCGGCAAGGAGAATCTCCTGAGTCCTGGATACGAGGAAGATAGCTTCACCTGTTTTACTTCTTAGGTCTCTAGGCAAATTGTCTGGTAGGGCTGGTGGAACCAAAACAAGAAGAAAAACTTCATTTCCCGTCATGCCTCTGGAATCAACTCTCGGTGACCCTCAACGTCCTCACCTCATTCACACGGAAGTGAAAGGGTCACTTCCGGTTTTGCAACCCCGGGAGCCGGCAGCGTTGATCGGCCCTTTAGGGCTTAATTGGGAAGCTCCGCCTTTGCTTGGGTCTTTCTGGAAAGACAGAGGGGA